CCAATGAAGGCGAAACATATGTCAAAAGGTGCGCATTCGCAGCAGAAAGGCGACCACAAGAGATGTTTGAAACCTACGACACAAGGTGATTTGAAGGTCGCAACCACTGCTGCTAATGTGTTGCAATACATACTTGCATACCATCGTCTGAATTTCCCCGTACTGTACCACCAACACGCGTGCATAGGTCCCCGCACGGACACTGATGAACCAGTGACACCAGTGCAGATTTGAACTGGCACGTCGGTTCGCCGCATGGCTTTAAGCCGGCAGCAGACGAACCGCTAGCAGATGGAATGAATATTTCCATTCACCCGCACCGCTGTTGATGATCCAGGATCTACAGGTGCTGCAGCACATTTTCTGGGGGGGGGTCGAGTGGTGGAAAACCCTACCCCCCCTACTTTTTCACATCTGCGGGGCACCATGTTTCTGAGATTTTTGTGTCCTAAAAGTGGGGAGTGTCATTAAAAATGGTGTCTTTAAAGCGGGGACGGGTGTACAAGGACTTGACAATCATGTGTTTGGTAGCCCGGTTACCGATCACTTCAATATATGGCGACCAATTGTAGCCCACAAGAGAAGCAATAACCACAGTCTCGCCCAAAACAAGAGGTCCGGGCGCTATCCGTACTACGTGGGTGCTTTCGTGACGCACAGCCTCTTGCCTGACCGCAGGATACGCACTGCCATTGAAGCTACAAACGTTTTGGACGAGGCACCCGCAGAGGCAGCAGCAACGGTACCGTCTGAACGCCACCGGTGCATACCCGACGTGCCATTGTGGTCAGCGCTGTTCCGGCTGAACGAGGCAAGTGCAATTCGAAACGCGGGGGGGCGAAACGGGGGACTGATTACACCCGAGCAACAACGCCTCCGCCGCCGTCTTAACCCATTGCTCCTGGTTTCATATTCCGTGTTCACAGCACTGACGATGCATTCTCGACGTGCATGCACCATGACAACCGGAAAAAAGCTGCCGGTTCGTTTCGTTGAGCACGCCGCCGACCAAGCCCGTAGGGGCGCTACTCTTCCCGACGACAGCTTTGCGTCCTGCTAAGCTACTGCTGGCCTAGGTTGGGGGTAGAAATTCGAAGTGAGCATACTGATGGCTCTAGCACTTTTGTGACCAAGGACCGAGTCTCTGCTAGATTTTGGGATTAGCAACTGACACGAGCTAAATGTGAAGAAAAACAACATACTGAAATCCCCTTTCGAAGGCACCCCGTCTCAAAATCGTCTCACCGGCGACTAAACTAGTGCTTTTTTAGGCAGTATCGCACACCTACTGCTCGTTGGGGGGGGGGTTCTTTGCCTACAACGGGAGGTAGAAAACGATTAATTTCGAGAGTATACGGCCGACTAGGGAAGGGGACGGCTGGACCCATCTCACGATAGCTAAACTAAGGCAAAAACGACCGCAGGAGGTTGCTATGGGGTGTGAGTACAAGGATCTGAACGGTACTTCTAGGAAACTAGGAAAGGTCGTCAGCCTATCGCGGGAGATAAGGAGAGGTCCGCCCCCTTCTGCGCAGCTTATCCAAGCAAGCAGGAAACAACAGTAAGCACTGCTGCTCAAGAGACTCAGGGACAAGGGCGCCATCGTCGAGGGTCTCCAGGCACTGCTACGCCGGTAAACCTCTCAACGTTTGGCGTCGTCGACAGCACTCGTGACTATCGCCGTAGGTCATTCGGAGAAATCGAACCCGCTGCCGAAATCCTCGAGATGCACAGGGGCGTCACGCTTCATACAGGGCTGTCCGTTCCTGAATCTGCTGTCGTACCCAATGGCGAGGCAGACACTGCTGTAGATCGTTTTCACTAGGCTCGTGCTGTAACATCCGCGTATACGACGACGGTCTTTCTGATGTAGAGGTGTGGGAGGGTGCTTCGTTGCTTGCGTTGTGAATTTTCGCATCTCCGATTCATTTTCGAGTTCTACTTGTAATTGGACCTGGTAACATCCGGGGGTTTTGATGCATCTGCATACACGCACCTCCAGAGTGGGCTGGCTAGCGTTATGGGATTCGAGTACAAGGATATGAACTCAGATGTACAAGTAGTTTAGGAAAGCTCACCAGGTTGTGGCGGGAGCTGCAACTCCCTCTTCAGGATAAAAATATTCTATCAGGGGGAAAGCGGCCCTTCCCTGCAAGGAGAGGTCCGCCCCTTTCTGTTCAGTCTATCCAAGAGAGCAAGGAAACAACAGCAAGCACTCCTGCTCGAGAGGTTCATCAACAAGTGGCTCATCATGAGGGCGTGCAGGGATTGCTACATAGTGGGATGTGCGTGATCACTCTCGGGCATGTGGCTGCCAAAGGTGCTGCATGCCACCGGTTCAAGCGATTTAGGCGTCGACACCATTATAATCAGGTGTTTTGTCGCATGCAAAAAAACGGCGGCGGATGCTCGTGTAGCCGTTGTATTGGGGAAGAAAGGTCCCCATTGAAGACGACAAGCTGCCTTTGACCGCAACTCAAGAAGCAAGCCTTCCAGAGCACTCTCGAGGGTGCGAGTTGCACCACGAGCACCGCCCGCGCTACCTGGTACTTCCCCAACACTTGTGGATGATGTGCGCTCTCATCAACAGCTTCCTGTACATCCACTGCTCTCTTTGCCTCTTTCGGTGGCGTTTGTTTCCCCGGAGTACCTGCCACGTGCTGGGGGGCACAGACGCGCGCTGAAACGTTCCGTGCTCCCTGAAAATAAATGTGGTGTATGGTGCCACTGATAGCACCTACCCAAGCAGTGACCTAGCACGTATTCAAGCAATAACAGCCCACACATTCCCCCATCAACATCAACCTAGGGCCAAGCTAGCGCCTATCGGGTGGGTTTGGGGTTAGGGTTACGGTTAAGTTAGAGTTTCGAGCCGGTTTTATGCCCCTACCAAACACCGCAGAAAATAATGGGATACTTAGAAGTGCACAGGCTTGCATTGATCGTAGATCAACTGGTTGCCGGTTGAACGGGCAACATGCGGCTGTGGAGCATGAAATGTTTTCGAGACTGCGATGTGTGTGTGTTCGTGTGCATGTTGTTAGTGTCGACAGCGCTAACCAGCTAACCAATGAACGTGCGCCAGTCTCAGTGCGGTTGAACACAGAAAATGCTTCAAAATGCCACGATCTGGGCCCCGTGAGCCCATTGGGGGGCGTCATGAGGGGAGGCTAATCTACTCTCCAGATTTAAGATAAAGACGGCGGCAATAGGTGAAGAATGCACGCGTTGCCAAGGCTGCTATTTTTGCACACATAGTCGATGTGTTTTTTCGGAGTATGCTTTCGTTTTTTCCTTGGATCATCCTCCTTGTATTTTCCCACCACGTTCACCAAATTTCCACTATTACTATATTCTGGCAGCTCCTCTGCAGTCTATTCCTGCGGCGTTTGTTGTGTGAGGAAGGTGTCTTGTGTGTGAGTGAAGGACCGAGGGAGCCACACACCGGCAAAAGTCCCTAACTGACAATCAGATCCCCATTGGGGTCAACCCCCTCTATAGTGGGGTGATGAGGTGACCCCACTTTAAAGGGTCAGGTCTCTATAATAAGAGGGTAACCATACTAAGAGGGCTGAGTCCGTCAACCGAATTCGACCCTCTTACATCGGAGACCCCCGTAATAAGGTACTGTACCCTCTTGTACCGGAGCCACGACTGATTAATTTTTTTCTCGCTTGCTCTCACACCAACACCACCGCAGATACAATGGCCGATTTTTTCTGCCCATCCAAGGCTTAAGTGATTACTCCAAATCCACGTGCTTTCACACTCGTACATAAGAGTAAGTTGATTCTCGCTGATTAAACCCTGGTCTCAGTTGGACGCGACGCGCTGCAAAACTCATTGTTAGTAAACTTGATCGACTTCATAAGTCGCGAGGGAAGGGATTGCTGTACCCTTCTCGCGATAAAAATATCTCAGACAGGAACCAACCGTAGGAGGGGGCCCAACCCCCCTCCTATGTGACCCCGGTTGGGTCGTCTAGCTGGTAGAAGTGGAGGATAGGGGCCAGAGGGGCAGACGACAGAGTACAATGATGAGAGAAAAAAAAATGGACAGCAGTACTGCGGTGTACCTGTCTGGGTTTGGATGTTTGGATATGGCCCTGGTCGCATGAAATCGACGTGTATTGGTAGCAGCAGCTGCGGCAAGTGCGATCATTTGTCTATGTACCAGCGATATGTAAAGAATAAACGCAGCAGGACTGTTGATATGTTTACCAGAGATTTGCAACCATCAGTTACTTTGTAACTACAGCAGCAGTTGTTGTCTGTGTTCGGATCTTCCGTGAGAATGCGAAACCTCGGAACGTGTCTTGTAGATTTGGTGGTCTCCGAATCTTTAAGTAGACTCATGAGGGAGCTAGTACTCAACCTGGCCACTGCTCTAATACATGAAAATTGCTGCTGGCTGGCTGTCCGCACATGAGCTAAATTCTAAGTACCTCTGTGCTATACGCAAAAGGGTAGCACTGACCGCTGCAGCTTTCTGCTGTGTATACATGAAACCACGTGCACCGACGCCCGGGGCGGCGAGCTTTGCTCGCCAATCTCCACACTGCTTCTTGCTGACAGTTGGAAAATTGGGCGGGCAGTCCGCAGCGGCAGATCCGATCCAGCTCCCTCTCTGAACTACTCCCCGCTTAATCCGTTTGGGCCAGCATGTACACACTCTACTGCTGTGTTTATTTGCGGCAGTTGTTGCTCACCACCAGCAGATGGAGCTTGCGCCATAAGCAATTGAAATATCAGACTTCAGCGGCTGGGCTGATCTCGTCTTCTGGGGAAAATGTGTTCGCCGGAAGTCTCGCTACACCCGCACAGGCACATAGGTGACGAGATGATAAACCCGGTGGGATTTCATGCGTGGCGGATCGTGGATCGACATGTATGTATGTGGCGGAAGGGGAGGGCTCGAACAGCAAGTGAGCAACCACCAGCGACCCCGCAAGGAACACGGCGAAAATAAGGAAGGCGAAGAAACCATTTCCCGCCCGACCTCCAAGCAACTCGGTCGACAGAGAAGAAACAAAATGCGAATCGTCCATGATTCATTGTCCTAGCCGGCGTGTTTCGATCCCCACATGTCGACGAATACTTGCGCCCATTCTTATTGTGGGTCACGACGTCCACTGCGCCCGCAAGGTCCGCTGCAAATATTTGTGTATAGTCTATATTTTGAAAGCGCAAGGCAAACAACAAGCACCACAGAAGATGCAACCCTGCGAAGTGGAAGCCACTCCCAAGGTAAAAACCCAGGCCGCCCGTGGGGCCGACAACGTACACCCTTCCGCAACCAGGTGAAACGACCGTTCATTTTACAACAGTCAAATTACTAACACAAAGGGCCTCTCGCGCCTCCGGGCTAGAGCGACAAGGACACAGCTTTCGTGACAGCCTCTTAGCCCTGCTTCTTTCGTTTCGACCCTTTCTTCGCCGTCTTCCCCTTCCCCGAAACCACTCCTTCTACCCCCGCTGCCCCCGACTCGCCACCAGCAGCAGCCGCAGCAGCCGCCGCCACAGCAGCAGCAGCAGCTTGTTTCTTCTTCGCGCCACCTTTCTTCCCCTTGGTTTTGCTCTTGCTGCGACTGCGAGGAGATGCAGGGGGGGTTGGCGGGGGCCTGAAGAGCTCTTTCATGACGACCGTCATGTCCACGTCATCCGCCAGCGGAAGGGGGTGGCTTCCAACGAACCCGTTCCAGCCGGCAATGCTGCTGATAGGCCAGCGTACGAGGTCGAAGCGGGGGGTGGCAAAGGCGTTGGTGAGCTGTGGACGTTTCGGGCACAAGCCGAAAACCTTGAGAGCTAGTGAGATGCATAATACCTACCGTAGGCAACAAAGCGGGAGCTAGGAAATTTAGTTATGGTCGGTTTCCCTCAGAGCATTTTGCAAGGAACGGCCGACACAATGCAAATAACCTTTGTCGGAGATAGAGCAGTTGTGGTGCGCGGCACAACATCATGCTTCCTACAGTAGGGGCGCCTTATCGTCGCTCGAGCTTTTCCTACTGCTGAGGTTTACGACATTAATACGATATATTCTGTTGACGGACGGAGAGATACCCGCGAGGTGTGCAAGGGGAAAGCAGAAGCTCGATATACCTCGTCGCCACCTGGAGCGCGTACGCCAGGCTGCAGGCCCCGTGCAAAGCCAGCGCGGCGGTGGAGGGGTCCAACTCGTTAGCCACCGCGAAGCGCTCAACGTATGGCGCCAACTGAACAGTCAAGCCGAGCAGCGGCCGTGGCACAGGAGACGACAAACGACGGCGTGCCTTTGAAGGAGCATGAAAATTGTTCTGAGATATACGTCGCGTGGTTCAGCGGCGAGAATCATCAGCAAACTGTACTGTGTGAAACGAGAACAAACATGCATGCGTCCCATGTTACAGGCAGGATCGGGAAAGTGGACATCGTGAGAGGAAGCGCGTTGTGGTACTCAAGCAACTTCCGCCTACAAGCTTCATACTCTAAATATATGCTCGTGTCGAAAGAGTATACTATAACCCTGTCTCCAAGAAACGCTGCTGGTCACACGAAAGACGATCGCTTGACGTCACCTCTTGTTGGGGAGCGTTCAGGTGCAGATCCATCAGGAGGTTGAGGTCCGACAAGGTCGCGTCTATCCTTCCGCCGAGCTGCCGAGGCGGACGGGGGTCGATCAAGAGGGGTCGCGGAACAAGGGGCGCCCGCCCGCGGGAGAATCACCGTTTATTCGGGGAGACAAGCATGGCAGTGCGGCTGTAGTTGTGTTGACCGCTCAGTTCAGTTGGTGACCAAGCAACGGTGGCGTCTGATACGGAGTAGTGTGCATGGCCTCTCGGGATTCCACGTCCTATGATGTATCTATGTGGGGCTGCTGGTGGTACGGCAGCCATCTAGCAAGATACCAGCACAGTTGTGAGGGACAGTCGTTGTTTCGGTGTGTATGTATTGCCACTTTCATCCCAACACCAGACACCGCTTGAAGCGGTAGATCAGCAAGGTACGGTTAGTCCATGGATGTATCGGTATACCGGCGAGCGACAGGAGTCCACGTAGGCCTCGGCCTGCCAGCAAATACGTCCAAGCGTGCTTCCCCACGTAGCGCTGGAGGACGAGTCACGTCTGTTGTGTTTTCTTCCTCTGGCTGACCCCCTTGACTTTCCTCCTTTGACCTTATCTTGCAACTTAACGTCCGGCCAGTTCATGGTCCTCGGAGTACTTCTCGGCAAGCGTTCATTCCACATCAACGTGCGCCTATTCCACATCAAGTCTCTTCTACCGTCCGCAACGGCAGTGCCCACCGCTCCCGACAACACAGAACGCCAGAAGTGTATACTCATCTGTGTGTGTCGGCCTCAACTCAAAAACGATCTCCCATCAATAACGCACCCGACCGACGGTGAAATCACTACTTTATCTGACCCTCCAATACGCCACCAGTCTTGCTAGCTGACACAAGTTGGCCTGTGTATTGAACTTCATTGCGACGGGGCGGGGTGTGGCCTACCGTATGCATACTTCCGACATGCCCTAGAAGACACGATGTCCTGCTGGCCCTGGATTGCGATAGAACATGTTCCAAGGCTCTCAACGGTGTGTTCTTGCAGGTGTGCTAGGCAGAACTCGCACCCATTGATTCGCCACGTCTTCTAGAACCAAACGCGCAGAAAAATTACACACAGAAAGGTATGCACACAGTCTACAGTAGTACGCACAAGCAGCCGTATGATACCTTGGCGGCAGTAATCCGAAACGTCCTGGTCGCGATGTTAGTTTCGGTCTCGAGGACGACGTGGTGTCTCCCTCCTTCCGCCGCATCCTCCGATTCGATTTGCTGCCCCTCTTCCCCGCGCTTCTTGCCCGCAGCTGCAACATCGTCGGCGGCAGCACTCTCCGCTTTGGAGGCCAAGAAGGCTTCGGCGTCTGCCCGTTGCCTGGGCGTCGAGCACAGCGTCACAATGTTGGCGGCAGCGTGTTTATACGGTCGCGGGATAACGCTGGGGGCCAGATGCGGTGCCTTCTTTTTCAGCAGGGCGGCGATCTCCATCACGCGATCTTGAACCTCATCCACCTCACCCATTGCGACACCATCTTTCATGGTCGTGTCGTCCGCTCTACAGCAGTACCCGTTGCTTGAGTGGCTCGAGAGGTGGCCTCTGTGGCCTCTGCTCGTGACCTCTGTTGTTGGGTGAGGTTCAGATGTTGGTTCGAAAGGCGTTTTCCAGATGCGGCGCAATCAACAACCTACAGTCCAGCGCGTCCAGTTGTCCATTGCCCGTTGTCCACAGCAAATGTCCATGGTCCAGCACTCTCGTCGCCGGGCTCCCTGCCGTCATGTTTGACTGCCACGCGCACCTCACGGACTCCTCTCTGGCGGAAGGACTGCATCAGACCCTCCTAGAGGCAGAGGCGGCGGGGGTGACCGGAATCGTTGCCGTGTCAGAGTCTCTCGACGACGCTACACCGGTGAGATGTCGCACACCCAGCAGGCGAGATATACATTGCCTACTGCTGACCCACATCCGAAGCCACACCCTGCAAGCAGCAGGGTCCTGTTGCAATGATAACGGCCATGCTTCCTCCAAGGTGCATTGGTGAACCTTTTCTGCATCCGGGAATACAGCCAGTACGTATCATTTCGTAGCTGCACTGCCATCTGTTGCGGTAAGACCATGTACGTTTTGTTCAAGGGTAAAACTTTTTCTGCCGTTGGCCCAGTCTCCAGTTGCAACCCCGCTCGCTTTCAATGTTTTGTAGGTGGTCGAACTATGCGCGTCCATCAACGATGACGCGTCTCGATGTCGGAAGCTTCGGCTCCACCCATCCATCGGCATGCACCCGGAAAAGGCAGACGTCCACAAGGTGGACGACGTCCTCGAACTCATCGACAAGCACGCCGACACTATAGTTTGCGTTGGAGAGGTAGGCCTGGACTTCAGCCGCCACTTGATCGGCGAGTCCGGCGGGGAGCGGGCGGAGAGGGCCAAGGAGGTTCAGAGGGAGGTCTTCAGGAGGCAGGCCCGCCGCGCGAAGGTGTGACGGTTGGTGTCCTTCTCTCGTGTGCCTACAAGCAGTACGTCACGAAAGATCCCACACCTCCGGGACTGATTTTCAAAGATCGATTAACATGCTCCACGACGAAGAGGATGCATACATGGCACGATACCTTCTCGGCCAGCACTCGACGAGACGGCTTCAACGCCGCCGTTTGTGGCGCTGCCACTTTTTGTGCTGAGGAGTTTTCGAGCTTTGAAAATCGGTCTAGGGGGTGTGATATCTCAAGTCACCTGTAGACGTCACAAGATAACACACCCCGGTGATAACAACTTGGGCTTTGAAAATATATTGAATATTTTCACCGGGTGTGGTGTCCTGTGGGGTGTGTGGTATCTTGTGCAGGCCGGGTGATAAAGTGCAGCTCGCAGGGGCTCCTATGGGGGTGTAATAAACCAGGGGGGGTGATAGCACGTCCGAACACGCACAGGGTGTGTTTGGGTTGTGATAAACGAGGGGGTTTGCCAAAAAGGGGCGTGATAGCACGTCCCAATACCTACAGGGTATGTTCGGGAGTATGATAATGGGGGGGGGGGGGGGGGGGGGGG